CTTTGTGTTCTGGGCCTTTAGAGTGCCTGATCATGGCGAACAGCCATTTATTCCTTTTTCTTTTCCTTAGGAGTTACCCTTCCTGGAAGGGTAAGCAGGAAGAAACTACAAGATCCTCATTTCAAAACTATATGAAAGCAGAATGGGAAACGCCATGGCATGCTCCCTCTTTTCAGGTATGAACTGAAGCACCTCAGAGAGCAGACCCTGCCTCCCTCTGCTCACCCTTTCTTCCAAGATCAGACTCAGTTCTCATCTTTTCGAACCGCAGGGAAACAGTCTGGCAAGAGCCACTGTTGTACCAGCTGATTTAAATTGAAATGTTTTCCCTGGATAAATGTGTGCTAAATAATACACCAGCTCTCCAGCCAAAGGGAAGTGACAGGCACTCTGTAAATAAAGGCACTTAGTTGCTGGTAAAGAGCTGTAAAGTGGTTCTGAGCTGATGTTTGCTGACCAGCAAGAAGAGCTTCATCTGCTTTATATAATTGTCACTGCAGTTTTGCCTGCTGTATATTAAAACTGCATCTCATAGACCCGACTGTCACATTGGATATACCATCTGGCTTGGGGTATGCCACCTTTTTCTGTAATTGTTTTTGACAACAAGCCATCACATCTTGGGTCTTTTCAGAAAGTGTCTGGTCCAGAATCCCTAGGCTGGGTCAGTTCTGACACCATGTGGGCTAGAAAAGTGACATCAAAAGGGAACGCGAAAAGAGAACAGAAGAGAAAAGAGAGGCTTTGTTAGTCTAGGAGCCCTAATAACATGCAGTGGCAGTTGTCCAATGAAGGTTCTACTTTCTCAATGTCAAGGCACATTTTTCATGCTAAATTATATCATGTTAGGAAAGCTTTCCATAAGGTTGCATGCATATTCTGGCCCCAGAGCATGGCACTTGTCCGGAGTCCACATTTCTACCCAGTGAGGTTCTAGAGACATGGAAACAGTTCACCAGACAAAGCAGAGCACGAGGTTCCATAAAGGACCACAGAATACGTAAGAATGAAAGCAAGGGTGTCAGTGGCCAGAAATCTATGCAGTTATCACTCAGAGGAAGTTAGATTTGTTTCCCAAAATGATAAGAGTAACAAGAAATCCCCAGTACTTTGGGAGACCAAGGTGGGTGGATCACCTGAGGTCAGGAGTTTGAGACCAGCCTGGCCAACATAGTGAGACTCTGTCTCTACTAAAAATACAAAAATTAGTCAGGTGTGGCAGTACACACCTGTAATCCCAGCTACTTGCGAGCCTGAGGCAGGAGAGTCACTTGAACCTACGAGGTGGAGGTTGCAGTGAGCTGAAATCATACCACTGCCCTCCAGCCTGGGCAACAGAGAGAGACTCTACCTCAAAACAAACAAACAAACAAACAAAGAAACAAAAAAAAAAACGAAAAACAAAACAGAAAAACAGAAGAAGAAAAGAAAAAGAAAGAAAAGAAAAAAAAAAAAAGGAGAGTAACATGAAATCCTTTTTGTTCCCCATAATTCCTATTCCCTTGGAGCTTGATCATGCCAAACACCCAGATGAAGGATGGCAAAAGTATCTTAGGCCAGTGGGCACTGCAGTTAGTCAAAAGGGTCTTAGATATAGAGAGGCAGGGAAACTCAGCTCACAGACTCAGCTCACAGGCTGACAGGAGCCCAAGGAGTGGGGTGCTGGGTCTGCAGCCAGAAGTGAGCACTGGGGAAGGAGCGATTTCTCTGTGTTGATGGCTCCCACTGGACCACTGCCTTTACAAGGTTAGAGTGTCACCAGAGAACAATATTCAAAAACAAGAGAGGAGCAGACAGACAAGAAAACAATGGGACATAAAGGCTTGGTGGGCCTAGAGCTTTGACACTCTCTCTTAGGGAGAGAACAGACTGCTGGCTAGTGAGAGACAAATGCTCCTCTCCACTGCTGACCAGGGGTCTACGAGAATCACTGCTGAGCATAGAGACACATCCTCTGCCTTCTTCTGTCATGTGTGCGGTCTTAGTCCATTTGGGCCACTGTAACAAACACCATAACCTGGGTGACTGATAGACAACAGACATTTATTTCCCACAATTCTGGAGAATGGAAAGTTCAAGGTCAAGGCGCTGGCACATTCAGTCTCTGGTGAGGACTTTCTTGCAGTGTCCTCACATGACAGAAGGGGCACGGGGTCTTTCTCAGGCTTCTTTTACTTTATTTATTTGTTTGTTTATTTTATTTTATTTTGTTTTAGACAGAGTCTTGCTCTGTTGCCCAGGCTGGAATGCAGTAGCGCCATCTCAGCTCACTGTAACCTCCACCTCCTGGGTTCAAGCGATTCTCCTGCCTCAGCCTCCTGAGTAGCTGGGATTACAGGTGCCCGCCACCACAGCCGGGTAATTTTTTTGTGTTTTTAGTAGAGATGGGGTTTTGCCATGTTGGCCAGGTGGTCTCAAACTCCTGACCTCAGGTGATCCGTCCGCCTCAGCCTCCCAAGGCGTGAGCCACCGTGCCCAGCCTCAGGCTTCTTTTATAAGGACACCAGCCCCATTCATGAGGGCTCTACCTCACGACCTAAACACCTCCCAAAGGCCTCACCACCTCATACTATCACCTTGAGGGTTAGGATTTCACTGTATGTATTTGGCAGGGAGTAGGTAGAGGGGACAAAAACATTCAGACCATAACTGTGTGCATGTGTGTATACAAAAGAAAGAGTGCCCTTCTTTTTTCCTTTGGAGGAAAAATAAGCTCCCTTTCTCTTTCCTCCATATCTCCTGTCAAAACCTATTTTTCTTGCTTATCCTGTCCTAAAAAAGAATAAAGAAGGCTTTTGGACACCGGGGAGTGGAAAAATTGTTACCAGTTTGGCCTTTATATAGGATCTAAGAGGCTGGGATAAAGTTTAGGAGAACTGGAAGGAACATCTATATCAGATGTGTATTTAACTAAATTATACTCTGAGATTCTAATCTACGGCCCTGGAAAATCATGATAATTGAGTTTGGAAGAAACAGTCATGTTGGGGAAAGGGAGTGTTTTCCTGCCCCCTCCTGCTGGCTTCTGTCTCTACTTAAAGGGAGAATCATTGCTTCCACTTTTTTCCACTCCCCTTGATGGTTCACTCCTCTCCAGGAGAGGAAGATCATCTACCAAGGGTTGGTCACGTCCTGTTCATGTGAAGGTTTACTGTGCTTTAAAGGGGTACATTTGAGTTGTCCGGGGATCTTGTTGGAATACAGACTCTGACCCGGCAGGTCTGGGATGGGCTATGAGATTCTGTAACTCTAACAGGCTCCCCCAACAGACACCCATACTGTGGCAGGGTAGAGAGAACACATATTGAAGGTCAAGGGCTTAAAGGCAGGAACCAAATGCCAGCTTGCCTCTTTCGCCTTCTAGAACGTTAGCTTGCTGTCTTCTCACATCCTCTCTTGCCTGTGCTACCTAGGCAGGCCGCACAGGAGGCAGGCTCTGACTCTTCAGGATGCAGCTGGGAGTAAGCTCAGAGCCTCTCCTAGGCCTTCACACATTGTGCTGTCCTGCGGGCACAGCTGAGCAGGTAGATACCAATATTTAGATTTGGGTGTGGCAGGGAGGATGGTTGTGTGGAGAGGTCAAAAATTAGGCTTCAGGCTGTATCAAGGTGATATCAGAAGGACAGAAGTCATTTCACATGCAACACCAAAGGGGAAGGTTCTCTTAAGCTTGACCAGAAGCTGCTGTGAATCTCAAGATCCTCAGGGAAGCCCCAGCCCCTCTCTCAGTCCCTAGCAGTGAAGACACTGGCTCCTAGAAAGCTCATCTGAGAGATGATTTGAACCCGGGTCAGCCAGGGTCTGGCTGCCGTTGCCTCCAAAGAATCAAAGCCTATCTTTCTCCTCCACTTTCCAAATCTCACCCCAGTGCCCATCTCCCACCAGTTGACTCTAGCCCAGAGCCATGCAAGGAAGAGGATTCTAGGAACTATTGTTCCTGGCTTTTCTGCAATGCTAAGCAAATGTTAGAAGGCAGTGGTGGTGATGTCAAGTTGACAAAAGATAATGTAGCTCACAGATCCAGGATGCATGATTCAGTTGAGTTTCTAGAAAGCCTAGCATAACGGGAAGGAGGTCAGACGCTTGCCCAGCTATCAATGAGATGATGCTTCATATCCCAGTAGCCATAGCTCTCATGGGCTGTGCTCCTACAGCCTTCCATCCTGGGCTGATGGGATTCAGGTCCCCATCAGGCAGCCAATGCCACTGTCTCATAGCTCGTCTGTAACAATGATCCTCCAATTCATGGCAAGCCTACACGGAGGTGTCACTCAAAGGAAAATGCTTTGCATCCTATCCTGCCAGATCCTGATTACGGAGGTCATTTGTTATGAAGGTTTTGCTGTGTTGCCTTTCTGAGACCCCTAGACATCTTTACTTGTAACCACCTGCCCAGGGTCCCAAAGCAAATGACAGAAAAGACTAGGGGCAGAGTAGGAAGGCAGACGTGTGTCACTTAAGGCTGCTTTGCCTCCGATAGGAAAATGTGTGGTCTGACAAGTGTCACCACTTGCTAAATGACTTTTAGTGTCCTTAGAGTTGCCGCTCTCCAGAGATTACCATCCCTCGGTCAGGAGAGTCCTAGAGGCAGTTCTAACAATAGCAAAGTTTCCCTCCCATCCCAGCCCAATGGCAAAAACATATATTGGAAGGAAACGGTCAGAATTGTGCAGCCAGCATCTTTTCAGTGATCTGACATTTAGATGATGACACTGGTCATGAAGCCACTCTTTGGGAAAGCTGAGGGGGTGGCCATTTAAAGGCTTGTTTATCCTCTGGAAAGGCAACCTAGTCTGTATGTGGGTGACCAGGTCTCAAGCCTGCACTGGAACGGAAAGAAGAGGCAGCAGATGCCCCTTTGAAAGCCATCACGGCGACCGCAGGTTTCACTGCCAGGCAGGCTGATGTGAGCCTCTTTGAATTACTGAGTGAAGGATATCCCTCTTGCCAGCCCCTGTCCCCCGTAGGCACAGCAAAGAAGTATTACAAGCTGTCCTTACCTTGGGAATTAGCCTGCAAGACCCCGATGCTGTCATCAAACTGCATAGATTTGATGTTGAGTGACGCCAAGATGCATTCCTTGTCCTGCAGCGAAGTATCATCAATATTATTCTGATTGGCTGACAGGATAACGCACATGTCACAGAGGTTGATGTTGACAGCCCTTAAATCAGCCCGACTTAATGGTGTACCCTTTGGCATAGAGGAAAGGAAAAAAAAAAAAAACAGAGGTGGGGAAGAGAGAGAGAGAGAAAGGAGCAAAAGTGAGAGGAGAGGGAAAGAGGAAAAAAATAAAAACAAATTAAAGATGGAGTCGGAGCTTTGGGAAATTATTTAACAAGTATCTTTTTTATGCCTTGACATTAAGCTGGCCTAACTACATTCAAGGGAATAGGAGCTGTGTGCTAATCTAAAGGGTAGCCGGTGCTGATGGCAGCATTTTAAGCTTGCTCTCAATACTCAATCAAGCTATTACAACAAACGCGGGAGAGGAATAATGCCAGGGTTCTACATCTTCTTCCTGCCTGGAAATTGTCTTGATTTAAGTAACTGTCCTGTGGCAACCTCTGGCTTTCAGAACGTAACGAGGGGGTGGGTTTCAAGTGCCTGTTTATTTAATAGCAGGTCACTTCTGTCTCAGGCAAAAGACAGCAGTTTCAACGCAGCCAAGGGGAAATGGCCAGTGAGCATGGAGTGATGAGGTGGGCCTGGACATGTGGCTCAATTTGGAGGCTATGGATGGAGTGGAATTAATGTGTGTAATGCAAAAGAGATATGGAAAGGAGTTAAGCTTCAGGTCATATAATTTTATTGCATATTTTCAGCAAGAAAAAGTACACAAGGAAATGGCCTAATTGTCCAACAACATAGGAATGGTGAAATATACTTTTGGACATGCACACAATGAAAATGTATGCAGGAGGTAAAGAGGCAGAGCTGGCTGCCCATGCAGGCATCAGTTTAGAAGCCTCTCTAAGATAGAGGGGGAAGTAAAAAAAAAGTTCTAGAGCAGTTAAAAAAGTATAGTTTCATTTATGTAAAAAAATCCCACAAAATAAAATTACATATATATAAATGTATGTAAATTTGGAAGGAAAGCACAGGAAAAATACCCATTACACTAATAATGGTAATTCCCTCTGGGAAGGGAAATAGGATTGGTGGGGGTGAGGGAAAAGTTTGCTTTTGACATTACATATTTCTATATTGTTTGAATATTTTATAAAAAGAACATATTTGTATATTACAAATATACAAATATATACTTATTAAAAAATAAATAAGCCAGTAAACAGATTTTTTAACATAAAAAATAACAACAAAAGACAGTGGAAAAATCCCGGATCCAGGAGGTAACAACAGAGTCCAGGAATGCAAGCACAGGATAAAATAGAAGGGTTAGAGTTGAAGGACAGGGCCATGGCCTCCACATGCTCTGTGTCTTCAGGTGGAGCCACAGCAAAATCATCAGGCCACCCCATGTCATAGCTCCCCAGTGGCCATGCAGCATCATTTTGGGGCTCCCGTCTGGCCACCAGCTTCACTGGCCCTCTAGCCTGAATCTAGCTTCCTCTTTGCCTATGTGGTGACCTGAGTTACCTTCAACTCACCAATTGTGTAGACCAAGGGTTTGCCAACTACCACCTATCTGTGAATGTCCTCCTGTAATCTGCCTTTCTGGAGAACTGGCTTTGAGAAGAAGAGACTTGGCTGCAGAGATAGAGCCTATCTACCCTCTTTTATGAGTCAGTGGTAGTCATGATTCTATTCTCAGCCCCTAAAATATTGTGCAACTATGGAGGAAGGGGCATTTAGCACTGTGAGTACTGCTGAGACACAACTAGTTCCAGGCTCTAGAGCAGCATCTTTTTGAGAGAAGGAGAATGCCCTCTTTTCCTGTGATCTCTTGGTACAAAACAAGTCTGATCGACTTCCTGAATCATTTTGCCAGTACATAAGCCTCAATTGCCTGCATCCATATTCTTTTAATTTTCACTTTGTAGGGAAGCCAGCCATAATTGTGATATAAGATGATCCCTGTGCAGTTGTACACACATGATTTCAAACCACAAGAAATACAAATGACATACACAGAAATCGCTTATGTTTCTCTGGGCTGGCCCTATAGGCAGGGTACTGTTTAACCAATAAACTCTGTGAAGACATAGGTGAAGGCCCATTTCGTGAAAATCTATTGTGCTTGAGTATGTTAAATTTTGGAGGGTTTGAAAAAGACCTGCAAAGATGACAGCTCATCCACATATATGAAGACAGATGAGTGAACATGTACAAGGGCGCACAGAGCCAGGTGCGGTGGCTCAGGCCTGTAATCCCAGCACTTTGGGAGGCCAAGGCGGGTGAATCACCTGAGGTCAGCAGTTTGTGACCATCCTGGCCAACATGGTGAAACCCTGTCTCTACTAAAAATACAAAAAATTAGCTGGGTATGGTGGTGTACGCCTGTAATCCCAGCTACTCAGGAGGCTGAGGCAGGAGAATCGCTTGAACTCAAGAGGTGGAGGTTGCAGTGAGCTGAGATCGTGCCAGTGCACTCCAGCCTGGGCAACAAGAGTGAAACTCCATCTCAAAATAAAAAAAAAAAAGAAAACAAGGTCACACAGGAGGAAACACACACAAACACACAACACACACACACAAATACCAAATATCACACATATAACCATCTCTCTACACACACAAACACACGCAGACTCATGTATCCTGGTAAAATAATAAACTCTTTACAAAGACACTTTTAGAGGTCAGGGGACTACGTGGAGGAGCACATGATAGAAAGATAACCATGGAATCATATAATCAAATTGACCATATTTCTGGAATTAGCGAAGTAGATATATGCTTATGCTCTCCTCTGTGTATGACTGTTTGTCTATAGGTGATTATTTTCAATTGTCTGTGCTCACTAAGGCAGTGGGTTTTTGCCCCAGCATCCAAAAGATAACTGTCTGATCTTTTTCATACTCCTTTAAATATTTATTGAGTCCCTATTGTGCCAGCATTATGTAAAGACACATGGTGGCATCTAATGAGTAACGAGTACTACTTGTGGATAGATTCTTACGTGTTATTTAATGAATTATATTACTTGGCTCTTTTTCCCCCCATTTCTGAGGTTTTGGAAGCTGATAACAGAAATAATAGATTTTAGCTTTGTAAGTGGGACAAACCCAGACCTCTTGACATGTAGAGAGATCCATGTTCCTCAGTTTTTGTTTTTGTTTTTGTTTGAGGCAGGGTCTTGTTCTGTTGCCCAGGCTGGAGTAAAGTGGTGCTTTCATAGCCCCCTGCAGCCTCGACCTCCCAGGCTCAAGTGATCCTCCCAACTCAGTCTCAAGTAGCTGGAACTAAAAGCATGCACCACTACATTGAGCTAATTTTTTAAACTTTTTGTAGAGAAGAGGTCTCACCATGTTGCCCAGGCTGCTCATGAACTCCCGAGCTTAAGTGGTCCTCTCGCCTCAGCATTCCAAAGTGCACGGATTACAGGGATTAGCCACTGCACCCGGCCCCTGTTTCTTAGTTTTAGGGATGTGAACTTACAAGAAAAATATTTGGAAGAGAGGTGAGATTTGCATGAATTTGTGATGTAGAGAATTACATCAAACATTGAAATGCATAATTCTCTACAATGTTTTGAGAGTTTGTGGACTATGCATTCATTATGATTCAGAAGTGTTAATCACATGACTCCTAAATCCCATATCCTCACACTAAATTGTGGAGTCCCAGACTGTTTTTTCAGACCGAAGTCCTAATGTTTTGCAGTCAAGAATATCATGCACACATTCACACATGGACACACACACACACAAACACAACCATGAACACATTGCGGGACTTCTAAACGAACAGGGGTTAGGGGCTGAGCTGCAGAAGGAGTTGGCCTTCTGTACAGTAGAAATAAAGAACTCCGTTATTTGCATTTATTTAGTTAAAAACAGAAGGTGGCACAGATCAAGGTTTCTTCAAGCATTAAAAATGCCGTAAGTATAACGCTATAAATAGTTCTGTAAGCAAACCCTTACTATAAACATCATAATATAACAATGCTCTAGGTTTTGTATAGGCAGAAATGAGAGAGTGTTTAGACACTGATATGGTTAATCTACTTGATACAAGCTAAACTTCATCCCTGATGACGGACTGAACTTGGCTGCAAATTCCTTTTAATAAGGTCTCCCAGGGTTTGGATTTTCCTTGACAGAGAATAGGGGAAGTGCTGAGTCCTCAGGCCCATACCCAGATGAAGAAGCACAGGCATGATCAAAGCTACAACTATTATATCCATCTGGGATTTTCTTTTGTGAATGAAAAGAAGAAAAGGCATCAATAATGTGACCTTGGACTTACAGGCAATATGGACACTTTGGGGAAGTTATGAAGCGTCTCCCATTCCCGCTTGAGGTACTCAATAGAGCCCACAAACACAATGTGCTTGAGCTCATGGTAATGAAAGTTGCTGGCACGGAGCGGCATCACCAGGTTCCGAAGGCCGATCAGGGCTGAGCTGACATCACCAAAGATGCAGACCACGACGTGGCCACTCAGGACGGTCATGGCGGCTTCACTTCGAGTCTGCAACAGGGAGAAGTGTGTAAGCGTCAGAGAGAAGACTGCGTAGGGCTGTCGTAAGGAGTGGAAAAATCATTTGGGCAAAGAATCAAGCAAATATTTGCTGAGAGCTTACTATGTGCTATTATGTTTATTTCATCAATGTTATATATATGCCATACAAAGCTATAATTTGAGCATGTGTATACGTATTATATTTATGTAATAAATGTATCCAAATGTATATCCATGCACATTGCTACCTTCTTTGACAAAAGATTTAAGAAAGAGATGCCATAAATACGTGTGAGAAGATCTTCATAATAATTTTCAGGAGGTAAAATAAAAAGGAAAAGGAATATTTATGCTATTTGGAAAGAGAAGTCTTCGTTTCCATGAAACTATTGATTAAATGAACTGCCTTTTCTGGCCTGCTTGCTGAGATGATGATAAAATGGTCAGATGCCTGCACTGGGCTCAGTTGGAGAAATTTGAGTTTGGAATTCTAGACTTATCAGTGAGATGTCCATGCATCAGCAGGTGGAATATGCTACCTAAAGCCAGGAGTAGAAAACTACGACCCACAGGCCAAATCTGGCCCACCATGTTCTTTTGTATGTTCAGTGACCTAAAAATGGTTTCTGTGCTTCAAAATGGTTGAAAAAAAATCAAAAGAAGACTATGTCATAATCTGTGAAAATTACATAAAGTTCAAATTCCCACCAAGTAGTACTGGAATGCAGCCATGCTCATACATTTAGTTATTGCCTATGGCTGCTTTTATGCTACAACAGCAGAGCTAATCAGTAGCAACAGAGATCTTATACCCTGAAAAACCTAAATTATTCATTACATGACTTATTACAGAAAAAGTTTGCTGACCCCTGTCCAATGCTGCCTTGGAGTTTCCAAGGACATTTCTGGAGGGGCCTGCTTTGCTTACATCATTCGGAGAAAAGATCTCCCCAAATAATCATTACAAGGGGCTAGAGAGAGATTAGTAAGAGCAACAGAGCAGTGTCTTCCTCCAACTCCAAACCTCTATCTACGAAGCAGACAAATGAAAGAACACAGTCACTCTATTAGAGGAGAACCCCAACTTCCCAGGAAATACAACTGTTCAGTCACTGCTGGTCCTTTGATTCACTGAGCTAGTGAGGCCAGAAGGCTAGCTGTGGACCTTTGTCCAATGCCTCCCATCCCTGTCCACCCACTGCATGCCTGGCTGGCCCCATGTGGCTTACAATGCTTTGGGGGAGGCATATTAATGTCCACTGTACATATCAAACTCTGCTTGATTTAATCTCTAGAATTGACGGCTGCATTGATTGTATAAATGCCAATATTGCAATTCACGACAATGTCAGGGTTATTACAGTAACCCCCAAGGAGAGGAGGAAGCTAGCTTTCACTACCTGATCGTTAGAATAAAGCAGGGGCTGTCACCATTATTGGTTTCCCTCTGCAACAGTCCACGGAAACCGAAGACACAAGCTGTAAGAAATGCCTTAGAAACTGTGACCAAGGAAGACCCACTGGGGAGCTCACATCACATATCCCCACTTCCTGCAGAAGACCTGGAGTTAGTTATCTGGGCTGCATGGAAGTGCAAGTGCCTGGGTGCCAACAGCAGAGAGCCAACCAGTCTATAATGCACTGTTATGTGACGGGGCTCCTAATTATTTTTAATTGGCCAGGTCACCTGGGAGGCTAGCTCCCTTCAACAAGCCAGAGGAGTATCAACTGGGCCCAGGGTGGAAGTGAATTCTAGACTAGGGAGGTGGAGAAGGCAGAGTTAGCCGAGTGGCCGAGGCACAGATGCTGACCCCAGGAACTTCGATCTGGGATCAAAACACCCATCGTCAGAATGGCCACAGCTACATCACCCAGAGAACCTTATGAATGTCCTAATTCTAGAGCTTCAGCCCTGGTGTGTCTGATTCTGCTGGGTTTGAGGCACACTAGAGAAACTGATCATTTGTTTCTCTATGTATCTGGAATTCCCAGGCATCCTTCCAGGCCCAACCCAAGCACAACCTGTGTGTATCTGATGGGACTTGCCTGGCCACTTCAACACACCCTAGTCCTTCTCCCCTACATTTCAATAGCATTTTGTGCCTCTTACCACTTAGCTTTAAATACACTGTTTCATGGGTTACATTTTATAACTTCTCTCTAGTTAATCCAGGAAATTACAATTGGGACTATCTCTTATATCTTCGAATCCCCAAAGTAGTTAGTTTCCTGTACCCAGTGAGTACACAACCTCAAAGCATCCTCATGTAGCTGGCCCTACCTGTCATTCTCATCTCCAGCCCAGTGTTACTTTAGAGAGGGTTTCTTGGATCATACTTTCCAAACAGCAACTCCCAGTCTCTTTCTAGCCTACAATGCTGCTTTACTTTTTTCAAAGCATCCTATAAATATCTGAAATGTTGTTATGTACTCATTTGTCTACCTAGAGATAACGCCTCTTCTCCCGGCCCCACTCTGCTAGAATATAAGCTCTGTGAGAGCAGTCATTGTCAGGGATTGCATCTCCAGTAACTAGAACAGTGTGTGGCACATAGTAGGCCTCCTGGAGATGTTTTGTTAAATGATGTTATTTTTCATAGAAGTAGTAACTCACCTCCTAAACGTTTTCATGCTGGCAGATGTTGATTGAATATCAGTTGGCATGCATACTACACCAATATCCAGGCAAGTCATTAAAACCTTAGGTCCCAGATAGGGCATCCAGCCTATGACCTGCCACAAGCGGTAACATCAGGCTAAGTTTAGGCCACCAGAGCAAAAGTGCCATGAATACATCAGAATGTACATACATGGCCAGGTGTGGTGGCTCATGCCTGTAATCCCAGCACTTTGGGAGGCCAAGGCTGGCGATCATGAGGTCAAGAGATCGAGACCATCCTGGCCAACATGGTGAAACCCTGTCTCTACTAAAAATATTAAAAAATTAGCTGGGTGTGGTGGCGCGCACCTGTAGTCCCAGCTACTCAGGAGGCTGTGGCAGGAGGATCACTTGAACCCGAGAGGCAGAGGTTGCAGTGAGCCAAGATGGCTCTGCACTCCAGCCTGGCAACAGAGCGAGACTCTGTCTCAAGAAAAACAAAACAAAACAAAAAGAATGTACATACGTGAAGCAGCTTTGCAAGTAGAACCATTTGCACTCCTGGTCAGTTGGACAATGGCTGTTTGCTAAGAATTCTGACTTTCTGTGCTCTTGCCTGCAACTTTTCCACCTCTGAGACAGCCTCCAGCTTGATACTGTATTGGCTGTTAATGCTGATTTATAATTAAGTTGAGAACACACATACACATAGATAAAGCACAGGGGAAAGTCCAGTGTGTTAACATACACAGCCATTCTGAGGACCCAGAAGAGTCCTTGTTTAGGAAGGGTGGTCCCGACATCAGAAATGATAGGATTTTCCTGGCTGACAGAAAGGAACAGACCAATCCCAATCTGGGGATTAGAGGCCCAAGGGAGAAAGAACCCTTCCATCTGACTTTCCTGATTATTAATCCATTTTTCATGGATTAGCAAGACAATAAACTGTAGGAAAACCAATGTAGGCATTAAGACCCAAAGCTGCTAATAGAACAAGGGCAGAGAGTAGAATGGATTGTTATCTACGCTGACATTCCTGGGAGAGACTGGGTGAGCCCACTGCTGCTATGAAGATGTTCACAAGCCTTACACGAAATAGGGCTCTGAGCCCCAGCCTCCCCAAGGGGACTGTAGTTCATTATTGTCATCATTATGTCATGCATCATCATGCATTTGCCTGTCTACGACATGCACTAAGAAAGCTCGCAGATGCACAGGCTATTATCTATAAGAATACAAAACATTGCTATAAACCAATAACAATACAGGCAGCATTCAGCTTTCCTCACAACATTTAATAATAGTAAGAATAAGAGGTAACTTTATTGAGTCATATGTTGGATTTTAATCTTCACTACAGCCCTATGAGTTAGGGTCATTCTCATCTCATCTTTTTACAGATAAGAAAACCGAAGTGCAAAAAGTCAAGTGAATTACCCAAGCCATGCAGCTAATCATTGGTACAGGCAGACTCTGACACCAGCGCCATGGCCACAGGAATTACGTTCATACCACCTCCCACCATGCCTTTCCCACAGCACGTGATCACCGACTCTTATGAGGAGCCAATATATGCAGAGATTGAAAATTCTGAATATTGCTTATGCTCTGATCAGAGGTCTAGCTGCTTCAATCTATGCTCAGAATTTCAATCATCAAAAATAATTAGGACTAGGGACAGTATTATCCCACTGTCCCACTAGGGAAACCCCATTCCCAGCAAATGTGGTTCAGGGCAGAAGCGGGCAACATCAGATGAACAATCCCTCACTCACCAGGATGACCTTCTCTATCTCCTTGGGCGCGCACCAGTGAAACATCCCAGTAGAGTCGTACTTCTTCACATTGGAGTCCATGTTGTCAATCTGGTCATTGCCAGGAATTAACAAGGGGTCATGCCTGGGGAGAAAAGCACAGGAAAACCTAAGTGGAAAATGTGATAAATTATAAATGGAAAGTGCCCCCTGAATTACATCTCAGAGGATATGAAAGATGCAGAGGAAGTGGTTGTCACTGAAAGCCATTCTTCTGCTTACAGAATCCATCCTTTGAGAGACAACTGCCCCCAAACCACCACCCTGCGTCTGGAAGTGCAGCTGACCTTTGTCAGGCAGCATTTCTGCCTTTCCCCAGCTCCTCTTTTCCTAAATGGTCTTCCTAACATTTTGTGGATTTAGCCTCCCTTTTAAAGTCTACCTCACTCCTCTTCCTCTCATATTACCAGCTTTTCGATCTCCCCAGCGCTCGCACACGCGCGTGCACACACACACACACACACACACACACCCCAAAGGGTTGCTATTAGCCTCGGCAATGAAGAGGAAGGAATAGGAATAGAGCCTCATGCTGACTGACTGGCATGAGGATGGAAAGCCAATTACTCGTTCCTTCTGACTATAACTTCTGACGTGATGCTCTTCGCAGTAAAAGCTTTAACAGGCTGCACTTTAAATATTTTAGCAATTTGCCCAATCAGATTTTGCTCTCCCTGGCTGAAGCCCTTTAAAGATTCAGTAGCATGTCACTTCAGAGCAGATTGACTACCAAATGCCCACATCTGGAATACATGATTTCAATACTAAACAACACCCTCTCTCCTTGCCTTGACAACTGTACATGCACTAACCATCCAATGACGCTCCCCACCACCTTCACCTCCCAACTGCTGCATTCCTTAGACGACAGTCTCAAGCTCAGATGCATCTTAATTAACTTGTTTCCAATTCTCAGGGCAACATTCACCCTCTATCGCCTTGTTTATTGGTGAAAAAGGAAGATGCTTCCATAAAGGCCTCCCGTCTAGTGGGTTGGCAGAGCCTCACTGACAACCTTAAGAATTGCAATGGAATCAGGCAGGTCTAACAAGCTTACAGCACAATAAATAAGCTCCTGCACCTTGAATCATAATCAATGTCCATGCTTTTATCTCTGATAGTGATTCAGCACCTCAGGTTTGGGAAGTCATTGTTCCTTCCTGCAAAACTGGCCATATAATTAGGACATTGTCCCAGCTATACTTAACCATTCTTGCAATGGAGCTATCTTTTCTGATTAATATTGCTAACACAAGACAGAAAATATACATAGGGTCAAATTCCATACATTTATTGTAAAGTGATTTTACCTTTTGAAATTCTATATTTCAACATCAGAGGGTGACTTTTATTTAGTTTTTACTGTTTGTCCCTCTGAAATGTCTCTGATACTTCCCACTTATATGTCAAGGGTACAGAGTGAGACAGCAATCTCCCTTCCATGACCCAAAAACCTAGGATTAAGCTTTTGAATATCTACCATGACCCTCCAATATGTTCCCCAGTCCCACATAAGGTGAGAAAAACTCTCTCACTGCATTTATTTATGCCTGAGAATTTGCTTTTAGACTACACCAAATGACAAATACCATGTGAAGCAAACTTGCAAAGTTATCTTCAATGAACATGCTAGACTATTACAGGAACTGTAACATCTGATCTTAAAAGAAAAAGAACAATCCCACTCTGAGTAGCATCTCAGTGTCTGGATTGTTGAGAGGTCTTGAGCTATGTAAACCACCAGGTCATCTTCCAAATACTGAACTTAGTCAACGATGTTAAGATAAAAAGGCAGTTGCTGATAAGAACTATTTACAGATCAGGGTGAGAGCGAATTTTGAGGGATGTTTTTGTCCTTGAAGAGTCTTTAACAGCTGCATAGATATCTATTAATATTATCTGGAATAGGTAGGTAAACAAAAGCCATCATGGAGAGGAGGTTTGAGAAAATGAACAAAATGAACTCTTTCTAGCCCTTGAAGAACATATTTCAGTTGCAAGAAGATTTTAGTAGACTTGCCCTGAAGATATAGAGTCAAGTTCAAATTCCCTTGCCCTGTTTACTGGTTGGAGAGAAAGTGTTATCTCAGGATGACCTGAGACCTGCCCCCAATGCATTTAGGATTTAAAAGATACTCAGAATTATGTTCCCATAATATCAGCAAGCAAGCAAATCAAACAGCAAGCTGGCAAAAAAACAAACAAACAAACAAACACTTTTAGAAAATATGTGCCTTGGGGAAGAGGAGATACATTTTGGTTTGGTATATTTGATTCTTTCTGGGAAGGAGTCAGACATTGGTAACAGTGGCCTGCAACTTTCATCCAGAAAAGCAAATAAGCAAGCCTGATGATCAATCACCCTTTAATAAAAAGAAAAAAGACAGCTAATGTCATGCTTCATTAACTAGGGTAGAGGGTTCCAGAAACCAGGCATAATTTGACACTGGAGCTACAAGCCATGATTTGCACTGGAACATCCAGAGGCATCCAGGAAGTCTTAGAGGTATGCCATGCTACACTCTACTCCCCACACATCTCTCAGCCTGGCTTGGACCATTTAAATATAAACAATCCAGGATTTCCCCCAAAGAGACTGACCTGAGGAACATCAAAAACCTCCCAGAACAGAGACATTACCCTCTCTGACCAGCTTGGTACTTGGAATTCTAACTTCAGTTTATTGAAACAGTAAAGCAACCAATAAGAATCCCCTATTCTGAGCATGGAATGCAGGATACAGTAATGATTAAGATAAAGTCTCTAGTCAAAGAGAGGTCCACAAGATAGCAGGAGAAAAAATATATATAAACCAATAGTTCAATAGTTATGGTACCTTGTGGCAAGTGTTACAGGAAAGTACAAAGTGATATGAGAATACCAAGAAAAAAGCTGTTCATATCCTCGTATTTGGGTAGCATTAAGGAAGGCTTTGCAAAGAAAGTAGCATTTGATCTGAACCATGAAAAGTGAAGAGGAATCTCAGCATGTTGCAGTGTTGATCCACTAATAGCCAGTAGGACTCACTCAGAGAATTGAGGCCCAAATGAAAAAGGCCAAATAATGGCACCTAAAACCATGGTTGAAGATGTCGGATACTATAGTGCCCAACCTAAGGCACAGAAGACTCAGACCAGGCCTTCCAGCTGTCTCCAGATGTGCAATGACAGTCAAGTAGAAGATGGATTAAACTGATTGAGTATGACTGATTGACAGCAGACTAAGAATGATGCATGAGATTTAGAGAGAACAAAAATCAGGTTTCCAAAAAAGGAAGAGTGTTATAAAAACTGAAAGTAATTCGAAAATGAAATGAGTTGTTGCCCAAGACAGTGGGTTTTCTATCATTGAGACATTCCAGAAGAGCAAGGGATGCAGTGAGGATATGCATATAAAGGTTGGATGAGCCTAGAAGATCCTGAAGGTTTGAAACACTGTGCTGTCATTGGGGAAAGACACAGCTAGAAGAATTTTGAAAGTACTGGACCATTGCTGGATATCAGAAAGCTGGAGAGCCCTGAGTAGGCAAAGAAAGGTTGCTAGAGTGAAGATGAGAGCTAAGCAGCATGGGAGAGGGATTAATTTATGGCTCCAATAAGGGCCAGCACTGTTACACACTCACTGGATTTCACAGTCTGGGAGTAAGCTGGGAACACAATTCATTCCAGCAACAACAGAGTCTGTAACTGTTTCTGGCCAGACAGTATAAATTTCTTTACCATGTCTGTTCCTGAAGTAATTTAAGATACTTTAGGCTGGCTTATGCTGCAGAGAGATCTCTGGAACAGGTGGAGAGTGGACAGTCAGTTGGCCACAGGGACTAAATCAAAGTTTCTAAAGCTTCTATTACTAGAAGAAAGTCCAAGCATTTGCCGTTGAGCACACCAACCAACACTGCTACGACCCAGGGAAACCCAAAGGAATTGGACAGTTTGTTGTATGGAAAGGAGGATCATGAGAAATCTTCCTGAATAAGTGATCCCAACATCTTCAGTTTGCAAAATGATAGAGACCCACTTCCAAAGCCTCTCCCACAACTCCTCAAAGGCCAGTTAGTTGAAACCAAGGACCAGGATTAGATACTGTCTTTCACATCACAATGACATTACCTAAGTCTTCCACTCACAAAGTAATTTTCAATTTCCCTAAAAGGTGCCATAATTAATTCAAGGCTCACTTGTCACTTGCGACTTAGCCAATGTACATGCCTTATTTTAGGGTAATAGAAACTCTATGACATGAAATATATCTGCTGTTTCATCTTTATGGACTGAACTGTGTTCTCCCCCAAATTTTTATGTGAAGTCTTAACCCCCAGTACCTCAGAATATGACTGTATTTTGAAATATGGTCTTTAAAAAAGTAATTAAGTTAAAATTAGGTCATCGGGGTGAGTTATGATCCAATAGGACTGGTGTCCTTACAAGAAGAGGAAATTTGGGCCAGCTTTTCCATAGGAGGGAAGATTATGTGAAGACAGAGGGAAAAGACAGAGGTCTGCAATCCAAGAAGAGAGGTCTAGAACAGATCCTTCCCTCAGGAGCCTTGGGAGGAACCAACACTCCCAGACTTTTGTCTCAGACTTCTAGCCACTAGAACTGTGAGAAGCTCTGTTGTTTAAGACACTGGGTCTGTGATCCTTGATTACAGCATTCCTAGAAAATTAACACAATAGCCCACCTTGAAGAAAAACAGGCACAATGTATCAGATATCCCTCAGCTGAAGGCCCCTGGCTGCCCTTCTTGAATCTTAAGTTTTTCTTGTCGACTTAAGGAGGGGCGGGGGAAGCATCCTGCCATTATTTCAGGAATACATAGACATACATATGTAATACCCAGTATCTCCTCTAAAGGTTTTGGGTCAATATCCCTCCCCTCTCCAACCACCTTCTCTACCCACCACCAATATACAGGCATGTTAGATCTGCTCTGCCAGAGTGGTAACTTCTCTCCGTCTTTAACTTAGACATGCATTTGAGGATCAATGCCAATGACAGCCCAGCTTAAAGCAAAGAGGAAGCCTGAACACTAGCCAGCTAATTTGAGCAGTCTGACTTATACAGTCCGTCTCCAAATGTAGTGTTC